GTAATCGATAGTCATGGGAGGTGTGGGTCCACTGATGTGGACGTCCGGCACTTCGGATGAGACGGGATTCCCTGATAACAAGGATCTTAGGTTTTGTTTGTGAGGTTTTGAGGCGAAAATGCATTTCATTGTCGGCATCCTTGCGGGCGAAACACGCGGCGATCCATTGGGTGAGACACCGATGGGCGGCGTCTCGGCGTTGGGGGTATGAGTGGGCGAACACGTGGGCGACTTGAAGTGGCCTCCAGTGGTGCTCAGGTTGTTGTGCACCGATAGGCACGACTCCTCGCTATAATTGTCATCGATTTTGGTGACAAAATATGTGCGAAACGTGAAGACGTTTTGTTGACAATCCGTAAAGAAATATTTGTCTCGAGTTAGACGCCTGCGGGCATAGAGTCAACCGATCAGTACTTGTAATGTTATTTTGTCATTAAATTGAAATTATTATATAATATATATTAAAATCACTGTATCTATACATTTATGAATTCTGCTGGTATTCCCTATAAGAATTTTATTATTAGAATTTTTTTTGTTAACATTTTTGTGTATTATAACTGTTATTTGTTTTTTAAGCAGTTTTCACTCTATTCTCAAAAGTAGTATAAAATCAAAATGAATTCATTCGTATAAAAACGGTCAGAATTGCGATACTCTCTCTCTCTCTCTCTCTCTCTCTCTCTCTCTCTACCGTCTCAAGATTTATAAGACTTTCAAATAAAACCCCAAAAATATTATTACCCGAAAAACAATAAAATATATATTTGGTCTCAAGTCTCTCAAACATACAAAACATCTTAAGCTCACAAATACTTATATTATTTAAGTTATAAAAGAAATCTATTCTTAGGGTTTCACACATTAATATCCGAAATGAAAATAAAGCGAAAAAACCAATAAAGACTATATTAAAAAATGAACTTTGTACAAAAGCCTATAGCTAAATACCAACTTTTTATTAGTTTTTTAACATTTTTTATAAAAAATTGAAGATTTTTTGTCAACAAAACAAAATTAAACTCAAGTGAAAAAAGTAAATACGAAAAGCTTAAGATAAAAATCTATTAGTATTTTCTGTTTTATTATTTCATAACTTTATTTCTCTATTGTGTTTCACTGCATTAGCTTTCAGTTCATATCATAATAACATTAAAAGTTTGCTTTATAGACATCTTTATATCCCTGAGACTATTGTCTGAAATGGTTGTGCGTTTAGTTCACATGAATTATCAGCACAGATACCATTGAAGCAATTATCTCCCGACAGATACAGTAAATGTGCGAAAAACATATGTATTATACCTTTTAGTCTCTTCGCTGATGTGCACCTGACCCGGCTTACTATTGCTCTCCATCTTATTAGCCAGGGTCACTGTGTTGCCAAACAAACAGTATCTGTAGGCAGAAAACATGAAATCAAAATCAAAACACAATTCTTATA